TTTATTATTAAAAAGAAGAAAAAGTGGGTTTAGGGAAGAGAGAAAGCAAGTAAACAAGCTTGCGCTGTAGCTTGCAAGCCACAGGTAGACAGTGTGTCGTCAGCAGTAGTACAGAAGAGTAAGGCTAAGCACAGCGGCGCCCCAGTATGTTTAATCTGCTGCACCTGAGCAGATAGCATCAGTTAGCTAAGCAGCCTACATACTGACGTTGGCAGTATACTTTTCCCTGGGGAGTGTTTGTTTGGTTGCTCATTCAGCAAGCTAAAGTGCAGGACAAGATGTGTGTTCATGTTCGGAAGTTAGATAAGGAGATTTTCGCTGGGAAGTCAATGTAGGTTGTTGTCCAAGGTCTGTGCTTGTTGTGTTGTGTAGCAGGCTGCTGTATGGCTACAGAGAACTAACAGTATTGTGAGAACTTCAAGTAAATAACATTAATAATAGGGCCGCCATCATGAAACCACAAAATATAAAGAATAAATGTCTCCCTTTTGGTTTCAGATTTTTCTCAAAGGACATGTGGTTCACAGAGCAGAACTGTATGCTGTAACAGATAATGATATCAACTCTCCAGCTCCAATTGTGCCAGCGATTTCAACTGTGTCACATTAACAATTGAGTGAACAGTGAAATTTGCAGCCACTGGGTGGCAGCAGAAACTTTTTACGTCACCTCCTAACCAATTAATCTAATCCAAATTAATCTTAAAAGACAGTTCAATTTCAATATTAAAGTAACGTTTAAAACTCTAAACTTTATCTATTCACTATATTACTATTGTTTTCTGTGCCCAGCAGATTGATGGCCCTGCTTAAATATGCTATCTATTTCACATGAATAAACTTGACTCAAGTTTTTAAGTAGAAAAAAAAAATCTAAGTGCTTCTTTTGAGTGGAATAATCTGTAAAACTGCATTGTGTGTCGCAAATTGAGAGCACCGCAGCTGCGGTTTAGTTGTTGCTTTTTGGCTGCTGAACGAAGGCATTTGTTGCCAACTCTGAATCACAGCTTGACTGTGTGCACCAGCTGCATGATCCTAATTACTGATCTCTCCTCATAATATCTTATCAAACAGGCTTTGTAGAGTTTCCAATGTCTTTTTCTTTTTCAACTGCAGATTTTATGAATTGTTTTATAATGTTGAAGACTGTATTGAGGGAAAACCACTGCTTATATCTTATCTTTTCAGTTTTTTTGCCAGCACAAATCTTTAAAACTTTACCTTGAAATCAACACCTTCCTTTTATCCCCAGCAGACTCATCTCTTCTGATCTCAGACTTTGAGCCCCAGCAAGCCACTGCAGAGGCCGGCACAGAGGACGAGTTTGATCCTATTCCCGTCACAGGCCGAAAGAACTCCCAGGGTAAGTTGTTCCCTTCTCCATAAGGAAGCCCAGGTGGGTCACACGGGTCAGGTCTTTGCAGTTAAAGACACAGGGATCGGCTGTTTATGGGGTTCCCGTCAGTTGCATGCTGATTTGCTAAATAATGAATGCAATAGTCAAACCCACTGATAACAGGATGAAGTGCCTGCACTGTTTTTACAACCTCAGAGATCATAATGTTTTAAAACCAGTAGCATTAAATGGGTCAATTCTGCCCTTTCTCTTCTCTCTCTCTCTTTCTCGACCTCTCTCCCCCTCCTTGACTGCTGTGTTTGCTTGTTGTGACTCCCGCTCCTCTGCTTCTCCCCCTCCTCTTTTTGCCTGTATTCGTCTCCTCCCCCTCCCACCCCCTCCTTTGTCTCTCCGGCCAGTTTCAGGAGGCCACTCGCGCAGTAACAGTGGCGGCTCTGAATCCAGCCTGCCCAGCTTGGCCCGCTCCCTGCTGCTGGTGGACCAGCTCATCGACTTGTAGGCGGCCCCCCTCCCTCCCCGCAGTAGAAGCTGTAACACTGGATTATAGACTGGCATAGCATAACGGCAATCAACACTGTTGTCATAGCTAGCTTCCTGCACCCCCCCGGCTGTCATCTCCATTCTAGTTCCTACAGTAGAAACAGCCTTCGCCTTTCAGTGCTTCTTCATTACCCGCCCTCTCCGCCTTATCGATTGCATTATCTGGCTTCTCTTCACCTCTCACCTCTCACCCTCTCACTCACATTTTCTCTTTGTTGTAGTCTCCACACGTCATGTATCGTCCATTCATTAAAGAGTGGCCAGTACACTAATGTCATCCTTTCTAAAGACGAACCATCTTTCTGTCAATCAGGATATAATATTGCTATCCCGTTTGTTTGAACAATATTGCATTATGTCTAATAGCAAACAATAGAAGATCATTGTTGTAATGTACAATAGGCATAGTTATAAGTGGTTGTAGTTATTATGGTGCACAAGTGAATTTGTCGTCGTTTGCCTTTTTAAATTCTCCTCCCCAGATTTATTTGCACATTTTAAAGTAAATCCATGGAAAAGTTAAATGAGCGTTTGTTCAAATGAGGTCAGTTTCTTTCTTCTATAAAAGGGAAACTTTGTCATGTAGCCTGATTTGCACAGTAGCATAAATGTTACCTCTGTCAGGGCTGTTGGATGGAATCTGAACTATTAACTTTTAACTATTTAAAGCTGCTATAGATTAGACTGAAAATGACATCAAACAATCTGGAAACAAAACAGCCATAACCACGCGTCCTACAGACGCCACACTAATGCTGTGATGGAGAGAAGAGCAGGACACTAAAAGTTTCCCCTGATCAGACTAAACAGTGAAGTGCCATAAAATAATTTGTGAAGAAAACTGTTGACTGGTGGAGCTCTAAAAGTGTATCGGCTAATCTCTAAATATAACTACAAAACACAATAAAATGTCCTACCGTTCGAGGGAAACGTGTTTGACAAGCTCTACTTTTCAAAGGAAGACCTGTTGTCATGTTCTATTAGATTTTATTCCCGAAGCGAGCAATAGGTTGTTTTGGATTTAATTACAAATCGGGGGTCATTTAACAGTGTTTATAGCAGTGTGCCATATCAATAGAAAATGCATGAAATCATGAAAATAATTTGAATATTCAACAGTAATAGGAAATAGTAGAACTACAGTAGTTGTTATATAGAGAGAGACCATTTAGGTCATTTTTGGCACTAAGAGGAACTAATGTGGCATTTTAAAAGTGATTCTCACTCACACTTTTTTTTTCTTTTTCTTTTTTTTTTTTAAATATCAACACAAACATTCATTCCACAATGTGCAATCCTTCCTACATTCCTGTCATTTGTTTACTCTGATTTATGTAAATAGATATCTGCAACCCCTACGGGCTCTTATCCAGATCATAGGATTGGTTATTCTTCCCGTGTATATATAAAGTCATTGTCATAAAGCTTTACTTGTGGAAGACATATTGCTTTACTTGTGAAATCTCATCTATATATCTATATATTATATATATGTATAGATATATATATGAAAGAAAAATGACATTGTTTTCCTGTTAATAAATGTTAATATGAATAGAGTGTTAGAGAATGAATGTAAGAAATAAATATTAGTCTATAATAAAAAAAATATCTATGATTCTTAACACCATAATCACTGAATAATATTGAAGAATACTCTATATAAATATTTCATTCCTCTTTGTGGAATTGTGTGTTGAGAAAGTTTTTTTTCTTGGTTATATCTACTCAATTATTGTCAGTACATCCAAATGTATAGATGCTAACTCTGACCTTGTTCAACCTGGAGATTAGGCTGAATCCCATGTCTTATTCCACCTTCTCCTCTTCCTCCTCTGTGAAAAGAACGTGAGCCTGTGTTATGTTTGTTTACATGGACTGACGAAGGATTATATTTTTATTCAAAACCGTTAGCAGTTTTCTGGAAAGTGGGAGCTTCTCCTCTTGAATCTTAGTCCTGTTTCATTTCATCGCTGAACTAGAAACTTTTTTTCTGAACTTGTGCTTTGTAAAGCTTTGTTTTGCTTTACCGGTTTTAGTGATCACAGGATTCATATCGAAAAGCATGGCAGTGTTGTTGAATGTTATGTTCATGTGTGTTGGTATACAGTGTTATGACAAGTATGTATGTGTGTGCGTGGAGTCAGAATTGTTGGATGTGTTTTTCCAGTAGCCTACTTGTGTTGTTGTTTGCTGCAAATATGGCGACAGTCGTCATGTTGTCATTAAAATCTGAAAGCACAGCCCCTCCCCCACCAACCCTCTAAATTCTCTCAGGAAGTCTGAGCTACATCGCTCTCTCTGAGAGTCGGATACGTATTGGCTTACTGCTCCCCAGTCTCAGTGTCCGCCGGAAGTATGCGCTCCATATTACAGTAGAGAGAATTAGTCTGATAGGTAATGTGTGTGTGAGGGGCTCTGTGAAGTGTGAAATGGTCATACAGTGACACCGCTGTAGCAGGTCCAGGGCTTAAAAAAATCTGTTCCAATCAGCAATATAAATGTTTCTGTAGGATCAAACTAAAGTTATTTTTCTTCCCACGCATGATCAGAGCGGGAAGACGACCTTCAGCTGTTTTTTTTGTTTTTCATTTTGTCATGTTAGAAAGTAATTTCAAATAACATTTAAAGTGCAGAATGTCTTTTGTGAGATCTACTTCGGGAATAATAATTCTGAAATAGGTTTAAAAAAATCAGGACTTATTGTTTGTTTTTTTATTATTTAAGCATAGTGTCATGTGGATTAATGCTGACAAAGCGTACACATTTTAAAGGGGTTTACACATGATAGATATATTCCACCTACGTACATGTAACATGGACTACAAAGCGTTTGAATGAAAGTCAAAGCAGCAGAACAAAATAAATCCCTTCAAAACTGAACCTTAAAATAAATTATCTGAGAACAGACGTGGAGCAGAGGTAGTGACTTATAATTCACATCCTCTTTGTTGATGAAAGGTCACGGTAATGGGGTTAAACACATTCGTTTCTGTCCTATCCCAGTTCGATTCATTAACCCTCAAAATTGAGAGTATTTTGAGTAAGGCGTGTCTGGTTTCAAAGGAGCGTTCTCCTAAGTGAATACTCTCGGTACTGCATGTGCAACAAAAGGCTTAAGTTCGTTTTTGTTTTTAATCATCCTCTTTATGATCCTTCCTCTGAACAACTCAATCATTTGCAGTTACTGTTTGAACCTATGCAACTCCCGAGCTTCTTCTCCCTGTAGCCGCCAATGTGCTGTTTTAATCGGTAAAAACCAAGCAGGTAGTGAGATTAGTCCTTGATGTGAAACAGAAGCCCCTCATTTTCTCTGTTGTTTTTTTTTTTTGCCAAAAATGAAAGCTGTCAATTATCTGATACTATTGAGTGTTTTTGAGACACCTCTTGTCTTTATGGCCCAAACCTGCGTCAGAGCTGTGGTATTGTGTGCTCCTTCTATTTTTGTGAGATAATTAAAGAATTATAAAGGGATGGCAAATAAAATACAAATGTGAATGTCACCGTGTTGAGTATTGATTGTAAGATGTCCTTTATTGTTGTTAAGACTATCGGTTAATATAACTCAACAAAAGTACAGGATATTTACACAGAATTACTGGGTTCATAATGTTCACTAAAAAAGTTTTATCCTTTTTTTCCAAAACTGTCAATCTGAGAATGTTGTAGGTTATGCAACGCTAAATTAATGAAGTACTCTTTTAATGCTTCATACAAACTTGCATGCAAATATATCTGCATGAAGTACTGTGGGCAAGAGTAAATTATCTAGCAAATTACTTTTTGTAGGATAATATAATAGATGAGATTCACTTGTGTAACGCACTAATCAAATTCTTCTGTTCAGATAGCAGGTTAGTTCTACTCAGGTAAGAGCAAACATCAACTTCATGCCCCATT